TTACAGAAGTCTGTCCTAAGGAATTGCAAAGCTTTTGCTTAGGGAGATGCAGAAGTATATTAAAAAAAAAAAAAAAAAAAAATTACAGCTGTAGTACAAGGAGTGAAAAGTTGTAGCTAGTTTATCTCTAGCCAATTGGCATTCATTTTAGATTGCATTGAAATGAGTGAAAATGGAAAAACGTCCATACTGGAGCGTAGCAGAGGTCCATCGTGTTCAGCATGACATGTCCAAGCATAAGCAGATTTTAGTCAAGAGTATCTGTCTAAGGAGGAGCTAAGAATAGGACAAGCATGTGCTGCTGCTTCTCAGTTTCTTAAACTGCCTGTAGCTCAGGGGACTTTGAGCCATATGTGGCTTTGTTTATCCAGTGGTGGTGTTTGTATATTCAATGAATTTCTATTCCTTTTTTTTTCTTTTTCTTTTTCTTTTTCTTTTTCCTTTGCTTCCGTTGAACGTATGTAAAGTTCTTGCATCTGCAGCATCAGCTGTGAGGCCCCTGTGGTCTGAGCAGTTCCTTCCTTACGTTTGTTTTGGACTGGATTCTGCGGCCTCTCCTTGTGCTCGCTCGGTGCAAGGTGCGGAGAAGCCATGGATTCATGCTGCAGCACCCGCATCTGCTCTGCTTAGTTTGTTCTTTCTTTCCTTATAACACTTAATATCTGATTTGCCTTTCTGAGCACTGTCAGGCATTCATCTGCTGTTCTCATGGAAGAGCTGATCATAAGAGCTCTCTACTCAGTGTTAACATTCACCTTAGAGCCTGTGGGTTTGGGTGTAGGTGTAGAATTGTTTCTTCTGCTCCCATGTGCACTGCTTTGTCTATGCATAATTGTAATCTCTGTAATCTGCTGTTTTGTTGCTTTGCCACTCATAATTTTAAGACTTTTCTGTAACTCTAGCAGCTACAGAAAAGTTAAGAACAGTTAATGTTAGGGGACAGTAGTTTAACATTATTTTTAATGAGTGTTCCCTAATATAAAATCAGCAAAACTAATATTCCGGATTTTATAAAATGTAGGAGTTGATATCTTTAAAACCTTTGTGCATTATTCCAGTGAATCTTTACAACTCCTGAACATTACTTCCATGGAGATATGTATATATATATGTAAGGAACTTGTATGAATGCAAAGCATACATTAAAATGCTAGTATAAAACAAAGAACGTGATAGCTTTCTTTCTCTGTAGACTTCTCTGGTGAGTTTTGACCTTGGATCCCATGGTGCTGTGACCTAAATACAAGAGAAATCTAATTAACTTGAAGTAGCTATTTCATGAAAATTTTATTACAGTTCTTAGTAGTTCAAAATCAGATTCCGTTTTTATTTTAGTATTAACAAGTATTGTTTCTCGAACATATGTTGTGGCACATTTAACTTATTGGTAGTTTTCTTTGGAAAAATGTGAGATGCTGGAGTCAAAAATGTTGTATTTCACTTACTCTGGAATAAAATGCTTGAATTCCCCTTAGTTTTTCAAATATTTATGTAAGAGTATAGTTATTTGCATTCTCAGGTTGGTGCTTGCTTGGAGAAGCCTTCTAGCTGTGTTACTTCAGGCTTAACTTCTACCTTGTTGCAAGTGAGGAGGTCTGTATTGTGGGGAATCTGTACAGAGGCTCTTGGAAAGAATTTTGCGATTAGACAGCTGTTTTCCAAGCTGCTGCATCTTCACTTCTAGAGCATCTCTGCCCAGAAACTACTAGACACATTAAACCTGACACCACAGTATGGCACAATCCTTTTTCTGGATTTTGTTCTGCTGGGAAAATACACTAAGTGTTAGGCCAACATCCTAATTGAATGTGAAGAAAGTGAAGGGAAAACTGTGGCATGTGTCTGTGCATAGAAGGCATGTGTGATGCTTCTGCTAGACATAGAATAATTTTTCCTCCTATCAGCGTAGCAAGTTGCTTTTAAATAAGTTTAAACTAGAAGCGCTGTGGTGAAAAACAGGTAAAAACCTGTTAGATAGCTTTGTGTTATAGAGAAATTACATATAAGTGGATACTACTACAGAAATCATCCCCTTCAAATCCTTATTCCTCACACACCCTGAACTTTACTACTAATATTCCAAATACTATGGCTCCTGGCTCTCAATATCCTTACTTTGGAAAAGTATTGACCATCAGAAGCCTCATCCCTCCTGGAGTCTGCACATTTCCAGAAATGAAGTATGTTTGTCATTAAGTTCTGTATTGCTGCCCCTACTCTTCTGTACCATCAGCTGCATGTTGAGGGCAAGAGTGCACCAGAAACTAAAAGCAAAAGCAAAATGCAAAAGGCCTTTTCTACCTAGGTGGCTTTTCTCAGAGTACAAATGAGTTTTGTGGTGGTAGAACACAACTTCTCTTGTTCTGCAGTGCTTTCTGCCTAGCTCTTGCAGGCTGACAGTGTAGGTTTCATTTAAGGGTTTTTAAGTTTTAAATATGTGGTTATGTGTTTATTTTTTTTTTCTTTCTCATTTCAGGAGCACAATAACCATTAGATACCAAAATGAAAGTACTGAACTCAGTTCTTGTGGCCCCAGGATGGGACTGTAAAAATACATACTCAATGTAATTAGGTACCTAATTGGGTGCTTTAAGTTGCATGATGTGTATACACATGTGTAAGCAATTAAATTATATTGAAAGTGCTCTGTTTGTAATGAGTTGTGCTCTGCTCCCTACAAATCAAATTATAGGTAGGGTTAATTCTGTAACTACTTGGAAATACCCAGAAAGTAAGAAATTTTCTTTATTTTTATAAGTTTAACAAAGCTCAGAAAAGCTAACTGTGAAAAATATAAAGCAGTCTTGAAAAGGCAAAAAGTATATACAAAAGGGAAATTGAAAAAATTATTTCTAGCCAACTTTGTTATAGTAAACACCCTGCAGTCAGAAATCATTGGAAACTGTTTCTCTCTGGTTGTAAAAGCTGATGAACAATGCAGCTCTTTGGGTGGAAGTCACCAGCCAACTGTTTTGAAATAGTTTTATGCAGTAGATTTAAATGTCTCAATCTCTCCCCGGGAGAAAATGCCATAAAGGTGAAAATGTCAGCAGCTTCTCTTATTAATAAGAGTAACTATGTAATAATGAGGAGAAACCAAAGAATTGCACTTAATATAAAACTGAGTTGTCAGTAAATATGCTGATCCAAAAGGTGGTGAGCTTGTATTTAAGTTTCAAAGCAGAGGTAACAGCCTCTGGCAGTTTTTGCTGCTTCCAGGTTAACAAACTGCTTTCAGAAACTGCTGTTGAAATAAGTTACATGTAAGGAGAACTTTTATGGAAGCGAAGCAATGATAAAGTACTGGAGAGCTGTATAAGTTTAGGCTAATCAGATCCAGAAGTGAGGTTGGTTTCAGTGAACTTGCAGGAAAAGGTCCCCGGAACACCTCACTGACTCCTGAAATTTAATGCTTCTATTTAGGCTCAGCCTGTGAGTTAATGCAACAGGAGTTATGCAGAATATCAACAAGAAAATACACCACACTAGAACATTTTATCAAAAACGTGTATTTGAATTTCCATCTTAAATTAGTTCAGTTACTTGATCTTTGAGTTTTGTATTTTTTTCTTCCAGTACTTATTTTGACCAGTACCAACTCTTTCCCCTGCTCCCAGGCCTCTCTGATTTGGACTTAGGCTGTTGGGTAACTGCCTGGACTCAGCAGAGGAGTAATCTCAAAACAAAGCCCTGTCTCAGTAGACAGGACTAAGAGAATCCGATAGCCAACAGGCTGTGTTGAGTTATTGTCTGTGGTCTTCATTGCTTCCATGTACTGGTAGGAAGTCCTGCTTTGTTTCAGGGTGCTCTAGGGAAGAGTCGTCCCGGTCTGGGTATCAATGAGATCATGTAGTGCTGCTGTCTGTGTGCTCCTGTGGACAGGTCACTGCAGGGTCCTGTGCCTGGCCATAGACTTGACCTGGGACTGCCTTATGGTTCTGTCTCAGTAAATGATGTTTAGTGCAGTGATGCTGGTGTGAGGGTGATCACTCTGCGCAGACTGTTTTTGGTAAAGACTACAGGAAGGCTGTTGATAAAGTTGTATGCAGAGTTCCTAGGATTCCGCTGAAAATACGTTGTTTTCTTTAAATCCAGAGAACTTTGCAGGCAGAGTGTGATTTTACACGGTGAACATTAGTGATAGCATCAATATAAAGGAAATGCATCTTTTTTTTTTTCAGTTTCTGATTAAAATGAGCAAGTCGCTGTAGTGATTTCTGTAAGGTTATGTATGTATGCAATGCATGTACGTGTAATAGCTTCACTTTCTCTTTATGTGACTTTAATCTTATTTTTTTCCTTTGTCTTATTCTTGATCTTCCAGCCTAATTGCCAGTTGCCAAGCTATTTTCAAATGTTGTTCTTCCACTATTTATTTTAGCAAATGTGTAGTGCACCTAAAACTAGATCTGTGTTTGTTCTGTGTTTTCATCATTAAACTTAAAACAGAAAATCCTGTAATAGCTTTTTTGTTTCAAAGAAATAGCTTCTTGTTTATGATCTCATGCTTTCTATCAACATAGTTGGAGTTATAAGAACTAAATAAATAATTATTTTTAAATAAATAAAGCAGTTGCTCATAAATATAGCAAGTCTGGGGCTTCCTGTATTTATACTTCTTTAAAGTATTGGTTCAATTGTTAGTTCACACTAACTTGTTGTGAAATGCAGTAACAAGTTTCTCTGAGTTTGGCTGCTGATATCTTCTTTTTCTTGAGGACAGTAAAAGAGCTTTAGAAGGAATGCTGCAGAAGGTATTCAAGTGGTGTTCTCTTCAAAACTCATATCTGAATAAAGAAAGTTTTAAATTTTGAAATTTTTGTACTTTTTTGTTTTTAAATATGTGTGATCTTGCAAACAAAATATTATATCAGCTGGTTTAGCATGCTGTTTTATAAGTGCAAAGTTACAAGTGTGGCTGTTGCGATGGGCTATATTTGTAATGAGTTCATTCTGTCCATCATTACTTTATCTTCCTTCCTCTCTCCTTTACCTTGTAGCCGTCCACAGAAGGTCTGCTTGTGTCCATTCCTGCCAGTGCATCCCCTGAAAGTCTCCACCTGCTTGTATATAATCCAGCATCCAGCAGAGGTGAGTAAGGCGGTGTCAGTTGTCACTTAACCTTTGCTTGCTCATCTGAATTGCTGAATTTATTTCTCAAATTTAGCCACAGTTCTTTCCCACCACTTTTACCTTCTGGAATCATCTGAGTAATTCTTTTTAAGTCTTGACCCTTGGTATGGTGTGGCATGGAGGCTTCAAGTGGGTCCAAGGGAGAGTCTGTTTTAAATACAGCAGTTCTCCTTGCTAGTGTTGTGCCTAATATTTGAACTAAGGAATTATTCTTAGTGGTAACATTACATGTATAGGCAACCGAGACTTTAGGTGCAGTTCGGTGTGGTATGTTTTGTGAGTATTTTATCCAAGGAGCACATTGTGTACCATAAAAGTAGGAGCACATTGTGTACCACAAAAGCAGCAGCTTCCTCTGTACTGTCTCCTGCTAAAGGTACTTTCACTGTTGAAAGATTCCAGATGTAGGTGAAGCGTCATGTATAGAACTTAATATACTTCCTGTATCCTTTCATTTCCTTTTTCATGATTCTGAAGATCTCATGGACTCTCATTTTTTCATTTAACTAGTAGAAGAGTTGCTTTTCTTACCTCTTAAATATCAGGTATGATGGTGGATTACAAGGATTTGGGGAACTGGACAGCAGTTGCACAAAGTTGCTGAGGTGCTGGGCCCACAAGTAAAGATGCGGAGCTGGGAAACCTGCATTCTAGTCTATCTGCTTATGTACCAGCATTGCACAGTAGTTCAGTTAGTAGGCAGCATCAGTTCTTGCTTGAGGAAACTTCAGCAACGTGTAGATGAAAAAGTGTCTGGAGAAGCAAGCAGAAGCCGTTAAGTATTTGGTCCCTAAACAGCAAAACATTAATTTCCTATTAATAGAAAGCAGCTTTCGCAGGTGCTTCAATAATAAAAATTATATTTTGTTTTTGCGATCTCAAAAGTGCTTAAGTATATATGCTTGAAATACTTTCTGGAGGGGGAAAAAAAAAAGAGATTTAAAAATGTACCAAAGAACCTAAAACTAAGTATTGAATTGGTTCACATTTTCTAATCACTATGGAAGATACTAGAATGAGTAGGCAGACTCTCCATAAAATGTGTTCTTCATTTCTATTTCCCTCTGAAGGGCTATCTAAAAGGCTATTACGTTAATTCTGCAGCCTATTACAGTGTCTGCTCTTAGGAATTTGGTTGCAGTGTTTCATGTGCTCTTCAACTAATGTGACTACAGGGCTGCCAGGTAAACTTTTGCAGATGCTAAGTATTGCTAAAAATGGGAGTTTCTTATCGTACAGCAGTAGGAAACTGTTCGCCTTCCATCCTTGTGTAATAGGCCCTTACATTGATTATTCTTTTATTTTTGACTTGTGAAGTAATTTGATGAGATTCAGCATAACATGTCAAAGGCCAAAATATATGTTTCCTAAATAGTGCCGATGTCCCATTACTCATACCAAGAGCAATTTAAAATTTAAGTAGATACAAGTCCAGTAGATGCCATAAGGAATAGGGGGAAGGTGAAGGAGTTGTTTGCTATTGCTTGACATAACTCCTCTTATTTTTCTTTCATAACGTGTATATATTGTATATATTTCCTATTTTCTGTTTCATGCTTACTGTCATGACCTTCTGTCAGGTCTGTGGCATGGTTAGATGTGATAACCCCTATACCTATTTGTTTTAACGTCTGCGTTTTGGAGGGATCTCTAGTAAAATGTAGATCGTTCTGTACTTTTCTAAACCTGATAGTTCAAGATTGATAGCTCAACTCAGAACCCCTAAAGCATAGTGGACAGTATCTGTTCAGATTTATTTTTTCCATCTCTTTGCAGTTCTGAAATAATTTTCAGAGTTAAATACCTGGAGAAAACTTAATTATATATATTTAATCAAATTATATATGGATCTTATGCTATTTTTTACTTGCTAAGCATAGTACTCTTTATATTAGTCTTTACTGAATTATAAGGATCAAATATAAAACAGATATTTCTGCTAATTGCCTTAAAATGGTATAGAAAGGATGGGAGAAAAATGTCTGCTAATTTTAATAAATGTATTTAGTAGTTAGAACTGTGCTGCTCACTGTAGATACTGTGCTAGCCACTGTTCCCCCCCCCCCCCCCCCAAGAAAAAAAAAGGAAAAACAGAGCTAAACCCAAAGTCAGTCCTCCAGCCCTCTAATTCTGTGTGCAGAACTTCAAATAGTGAAACACTGCAAATCCCTTTCCGATTGTCAGGAAAAACAAGAGAGCAACTACCCAATGTCATACCAGCAAATGCAAAATCAGTCCTATACTGGCAAATAAGCTAAATAATTAAATAAAAGTTGTAATAAATGAAAACTTTTAATTAAGAAAAGTCTAAACATGAAATGTATTTGAACATCAGTCTTTGTTGTTTTCCAGTTTTTGTCCTTGCTTCCTTCAGCTTTCTGTTCTTTTATCTTCTTGTAAATAAGTTTGTTAAAGTCCTTTGGAAAATTCCAACTTTTTCCTCTTGGTAGCAGAATGTATTTATTTGCTAGAAATGTAATTCATAAGTAGTGATATGACATTGAAAGGACCAATTGAATGACTTTTGAATGATGATAGTTCTTTTCTTTCTCTGCAGAGTGAAATAATTCATTTTCTTCCAGCTCATTTATTGTCACTCTGTAGATCCTTATGAAGAAGGAAGTCTTCTGACTAGTGAATTATTGTTACTTGATCATTATGAAATAATGACAAATAATTCTATGCTGTCAATAACAGTGCTTTTTTTTTTTTTTTTTAGCACTTGTTTGTGAAAGTCAGGCTCTCATCCATACTGGCAGAGAAGTTGGAGAATGAGTGAAACTAGCTTATCTGTTATATTAATGAGAACACTATTTTCTTGCCCAATTTTAATATTAATCTGTTAAAGTTGTTGCTTTTTTGAGACAGGTGGTCTAACTGAATTAACTTACGCTGATGATGGTAGGCTAAGGCTAGTACTGTTACCTCATACTAAACTTAGGACTGGTCACAACAGCATGAACTGATTACATTGGGACCAGGTGTCCTTTCTTGCAGATTTATTTTTTATCACTTGTTGTCAATGTAGTCAAAAAAATTAAAAGTAAATGGAAATGTTAAGAATTAATAAATGCCATCTATGATTTTTATTCAGAAGTACCTTTTTGTTTCTTTTCAGGAAAGCCGAGTGCTAAGGACGGTTCCTCTGCTAGCAGCTTGTCTCCCTCCAGACAAATGTAAAGTTTTGATCGGTCGCCGTTTTAGTGAAGACAGGTGAGCAGGACTGCCGATACCTATATTTATATATATTTTCTGATTCTCTCTATATTACTGAGATGTTTCTTCCAGATTCTTCAACAGCAGTCAATGTTGAGTTTTATTTTGATGGTGCATGTTCTCTTTCGGCCTAAACTTCTGGCTTCCAGTAAACATAATCTTGATAAAATAGTCTGAAACACTTGATGGCTTTTCTTCTAATTTGCAGCTTCCACTGTCTTGATTTTTAGCAAGATGCTATTATGAAATACCTGTTTCATGAGGATGTGACTTCCTCCCTCGTTTCTGCTCTGCCACAATATGGTACAGTGCCGTCTGTATTTCAGGCAGTGGGGAGAAATGCCCAGTTCCATCTTGGCCATGCTGGGCAATGGGAAGGGAGCCAGTCCGCTCAATACCTCTTCAGCTGCAGCATCCTTGCACGTTCAGGTGGTGACTCTGCAGCTCTTCCTAAAGCTGTAGATGCATCCTGCAGTTCTGGCCGTGCCATGGGGCAGGGGCAGGTGTTATATACAAAGGTCCTGCGCGGTAGCGATGTGGGTGGTGCGGGAAGGGCGCCGGCCGCGCGGAAAGACCCCGTGTGGAGAGGACCTGTGCCCTGGGAGCGGTGCAATGTGCGTCCAGTGTCACGTGAATTAGTGTCACCCTTTTCCACTTGTCATGTGAAATAGTGTCATGGGAAACTGTGTTGTGTCCATGTGTTTTGCCTCTGTGCACTGTGTCTCATTTCCACGTGTCACTTTACTATGTGTTGCTTGCCCACATGTACTTTTTGTGGTGCATGGAAATGACATTTCCCATACCATGTGTAGCCCTCTGCAGTACTGTCTGTGGACCACACAAAGTAGCATAGTGTAGTGTGACAACATGTGTTGCATATCACATACTACACAGGAAAGACATGCTGCATAGAAACATCACGTTTCATGTCATATGACAATGTATAGCATGTCTCATGTCATGTTGTATGGAAAATGACACATACCAGGTATCACATGAAAATGACACATGTAGCGTGTCAGGTGACATAGCGCAGTGTCTCCTTTCTCACAAGATAATGTCACGTGAGGTAGTGTCACTCTGCACTAGCAGTCATTTTCACACTACACATTTTTAAAATTATTTTCCCAGAAAGATGTTATTAGGTGTTCCTTTGTGGGGAGTTGTCTCTTTAATTCTGCGTATCATCATCTTAATTTGTGCTGCTGCTTTATATTGTGGAAGTAGTAAGGCCTGGGTTTCTTTTCCAGGTCTCTATCTGCTTACATCTCTTAATCATGCGTTGATGTTTTTTTTTTTTTTTTTCCTTCAGCTGTTGTTTGGAGACCCACAAGGGACAATCTGGATCTTGCTTTATCGTGTGGGTTTCAGAGAAGGAAGGTGGCCCTGCTTTTTTTGATTCTAACCTTGAGCAATTTCTGCCTTTTTCTTTTCTTATTGTCTAGTACATGTGAATTTAAGGTCTCTTTACTTCCCCTCAAGTGTCTTTCATATCTCTTAAATCATGTTTTCCATTATATTGCCTATTCTTTGTTTTACATTAACTTGCAAACCTAGATCATGCTTTACAGACAACAAAGCCATGTTAGTTCCCAGGCCCTTTGACCTCACACCAACTGAAATCTGTTATGTTATGGTCCTGATTGTCAAATTTCTAAAAGAATAAATCGCTGTTTCAACTCTTTGCACAATATAAAGAATTAAAAACTCAGTTGCAGTCATCTTAGCCAAGATTGAAGGTTAACTCACATGTTCCTTCCTTCATACATATGTATGATTGAATTGTCTGTGTTTAACTATTTTTTAATCATTGGTGATTCACTAGATTTTATTTTATGTATAGCTGTTATAAAGGGATCCAGGTTTGTGGCTTTGAAGTCATAACAAATCTATTTTAATAGAAGTTGTTAAAAGTTCATGAAAACACGTGACAAAATCAATGAAGAATTTGGGCAGCTGATGGTTAAGTATAGAAGAACCCATAGAAGCACTCTATTTTTAAAGTGCTTTAGCAGTTCCAGTTTAGCAGTTTCTAATGAGATAATTTATTTAGATAAGAGCATCCAGAATGAAGTGATTGTAAATCTCACCAGGATTAACAGCACACTTAAGTATAATCTGAAATAAGCTCTCATTTCAGTTTTGAGTTTACATCATGCTCTTGCAGGGTCTATGAAAAAGCTAAGGCTCAGGATGGGACAGATTCTTTGAGAAAAGTGATTTTTTTTTTTTTTTTTTTTTTTTTTTTTTTGCATATACAGGAACTTCTCCCACCCCTTTTTTTCCCTGACTGGCAGAGTTGTAAAATCTTTTAAAGGTCAACTCCTGATCTATAGGACAAGTCCCAGTTGTTCAGAAGGAGAGTTTCAGTACCCCCTTAAGATTATATTGCTGCAGAGAGTCTGCTATGAACATGCTGGCAGTATAGATTAAAATGTTAAGTAAAATTAAAAGTCTCTTTTACATACTGTAGACTCAGCAGAGTCTGTAAAAGCACAGTGAAGTGTTCTGGGACAAGCTCTGTGTGAGTAAGACAACTTTGGTCTGTCTGCAGCAGCGCCTGGCAGCCGGACTGCTCTTGGCTCTGCCTCGCCCGCTACTCTGACGGCTGTGCTCCTCCGTGTGCCCTGCTCTGCCATTGGCCCTGCCACGTTTGCCAGCATTAGGCCACAGTTGTTTTGAAACCTACCCAAACTTAAATAACAGCACTTTGAAATAAAACCGAAACAAAACTCCAAAGCCCTCCTACATGAAAAATCAGGCTCCCAGTAGAGTGGTTATAGGCCGTTAATCCTGTAAGGAAACTTTCCCAGTTCTCCTCTCAGCAATTTAGCAATTTGCTAGACTTGGAGATTGTGCCTTCCTAAGAAGCTGTGTTTCGGAAGGTCCTTCTTGGATTAGGAACATCTGTTTCCTAATTCACTGATCCAGTCTATGGACTTTGCGACTGGTTGATGGGATTCTTCTAGACAATGTGAGGGTGGGCTGGACATCCCATACATGCAAATCCAGTGCTGGATTTTTCAACTCCATCTTGGTGTGGCAGAGATGAAAAGCAAATGCACAGGCATAGCACTGAGTGAGGAGCTACTGCTGTGGCTCTGAGGAGGGTTTCAGAGCTGGCATATGTTTAATATTTCATGACTTGTCAAGAATACAAACATCAACCTTAATAAAAATGTCTTCTGTATTTTTAATGAGCCTACTATTTGTCTTGAAATACTCTGGTACTTAAACAATGGAATAAATTAGTGGTATTTGGGGAAAAATCAATATTGACATTGTTTAATGTATTTTTATTGTAGGATTGTATACCCCTGCTTTTAGAGCTAAAATTATGTGAAGATTATGAAATCTAATTTATAATCTATTACTTTGTGTTATAGTAAGCTTAAGCACACATATCAAAGCTCATATAAAAGAAAAATAGATTCTTTATAGTGTGTGGATCAGGTGTTCAATGGAGCTGTAGATTCTTTATAGTGTGTGGATCAGGTCTTCAAAGGAGCTGAGCAGCAACAACTGCATTTCAGCATTGCAGTGAAATCACATTTGGTTGCTATAATAGTTTCCTTTTAAAACATCTGACTTTAGTAGAGAATATTCTCCCCTATAGCAGAATTTGAATAGTAATGTATGGTTAAATGTACTGTATTACAGTATCTCTCCCAAGCAAGTTTATTGCTGTTATCATGCTGCTACTACATACTTTCAAATGCTCTACATTTCTATGCTGTCTATACTACAGTCTTTCAAAATCTGCTTCACAGAACCCTGTTTTTTTAATCAACGTTGTAAACCTAGGGTCTCTGAGACTTCCTCACTTCTTATGCAATTTTAATGAAATGTAACTAAAGGATTCACATAAAACCTGTTTGGGGGAGGGAAGCAAGTTCTTGATAGTGGTGATTCACAAGGCCTAGTGCACTGTGTGTTGGTAACTACCTAACAGAAAGCAAAGTCTGAGAAAACGAGCAAAACCAAGACCTGCAGTGCAGTTAAGATAAGGCACCGAGGCCTGCAAGGGATTGAGCAGTGTGTGTATTTTAGGAACCTTCTGTTATGCAAAGAACTCTCTCTGCATATACCCAGCATCACTCAAGATGGTGGTGCTGGGTATATTGCTGTTTTTTTGTTCATTCACATTTTGTTCATTCACAATGGTGAATATTGTTGGTTTTTTTGTTCATTTGTCTATTACCTTGATTATTTGAAAGCTCTAATATGAAAGCTTAGGAATGTTATAGACTTAAATATTGAGTCTTTTCACAGAATCACAGAATCACAGAATATTTAAGGTTGGAAGGGACCCCTAGAGATCATCTAGTCCAACCTTCCTGCTCCAGCAGGGACACCCAGAGCATGTGGCACAGGGCGGCATCCAGGCGGGTTTTGAAGACCTCCAGAGAAGGAGACTCCACAACCTCCCTGGGCAGCCTGTTCCACTGCTCTGTCACCCTCACAGGAAAGAAGTTCCTCCTCACCTGGAGGCAGAACTTCCTGTGCTCCAGCTTGTGGCCATTACCCCTGGTCCTATCGCTGGCCACCAGTGAAAACAGCCTGTCCCCTTCCTCCCTGCATTCTCCCTTCCTGAACTTATACATATTAATCATATCCCCTCTGAGCCTTCTCTTCTCCAGAGAAAACAGGCCCAGCTCACTCAGCCTCTCTTCATACGAGAGATGTTCCATTCCCTTAATCATCCTAGTTGCTCTTCTCTGGACCCTCTCCAGAAGCTCCACATCCCTCTTATACTGGGGAGCCCAGAACTGCCCCCAATACTCCAGGTGCGGCCGCACCAGAGCTGAGCAGAGGGGCAGGATCCCCTCCCTCCACCTGCTGCCAACATCCTCCTGATGCAGCCAGGAGCCCATGGGCCTTCTTGGCCACGAGGGAACTGCTGCCTCATGGGTAACTTGGTGTCCACCAGCACTCCCAGGTCCCTCTCCGTGGAGCTGCTTTCCAGCAGGTCAACCCCTAATCTGTACTAATCTGCACTACAGGCTTTTGGTAGCCTGTGGTGAAAAACTTATTGTATGTGACTGTTTATAGCATGATTTCTGGTTAAGTTGAAGTGATAATAAATTAATATTGATGGCTTAAGATTAAGAAACTTGTGTACAGGTAAGTTTACATTATAGTCCTTGGTAGAAAGTTATCCCAGATGTATTTTACAAGCTTCTCATTTCCGTTTACACTTTTACCCTTTTTATTGTTTATTATGGAAGTAAAATTTGTTACTGAATTTTCTTTTTCTTTTTGGTAAGTAACATTGACAGTATTGAAATATATAGTGTTGAATGAGATCAATCTGGATTGTTTACTTGGAGAGTAAGGATGGTCAAATATAGGAAGACAGGCTCTGGGCTAATATTAGTATGCAGAATTCAATGCCTCTTCCATTTTTGATGTCTCCCATGTGGTCCTAGACAAGTCTTGAACTCAGTTCGGGTCTCGGGACTGAAATTCTGCCTAAACTTAACATTGATCTAATTGTTACTGCATCTGCCCACAGAGCAACAGTGAAGTATGGAGGCTTCAAGTACACCTAATGTATGTCAACTCAAGAACCATTATTTAAACATTGCTTTTTTCTCAGCCACTTTCTTTCTTCACTTTAAGGAAGGGAAGAAAGGAGGTGCTTGAGTTATAGAGAAATAGTGCAGATGCTCAGGTCCCTGGGCTTCAAAACTGAGAGCGCAGTAGCATTGGGAGTTTGCCTTTGTGGACTGGTATCTTTAAATGTTGCTTCTGTGGTCTCAGTGCATATTCCAGTCCCTTGTGATTCTTGTTGGATAGCATGGACAGTGTACTGGTGTGCTGGCTATTGCAAATCTCATTGTATTAAACTCTTTTTTTTTTTTTTTCCCCATGCATTAGTCCATTTTGAAAGTAAATATACTGCTTTGATTCCCTAGCTATTTTTAAATGTATGTGATGATGCATGTGGTGCATTTCATGTTACTGCTTTGAAGATATGCTGAAGATAGTACATCAAATAAGGAGCATTGCTGATCACTAATGGAACTTAATGATCAGGAAAACTTTTGGTCTTCTTAACGATCCTGTCTTAAAGGAGGCAAGGAGGCCAGGGCATCACTAAGCTGTACTGGCTTCCCATTCGAGCTCAGAGTGCAAAAGGGCCAGACTGTTCTTCCCCAGCAGTCAGTCTCTGTAATCTCTGAAGTACTGTGCAGAATTAATTTCTTAGTCTGACACGTGCTTCAGTCAAGCCTCGCTTTGTATTTTCTCCATCCTGAACTGAGGCAGTTTTGAAAACTGTGAATTAGTGTTACTGGAATTGGTTCACGACAAGTAGTATGTTGTTAGTATAAGGTCACTCTTTTTGTCAGTTTCTCCCTTGCTATCTGACTTGTCTAAGAGATTTTTGAAGTTTCTGCTATGATCTGAATATCTGTGCCTACCATTGATTCTTAGGGTAACTTATTCAATAGGTGAACACTTTAGAGAGAAAAACCTGTTTTTCTGCTTCATGCCAAATGTACAGACCAAGAGAAAGTAGGAAAAGATTATGTGGGCTTTGGGGGCGTACCTACAGTAATAGTAACTTAAACCAATTTGAGATGATATAATTTTTATACATGTCTTATGGATCAGAAAGGCTGTTGATAGTCTTTTCATATTCAAGGTTCCAAAATACAAAATTACTACTCAATATTTATATTAAGGTTTTGGTAAACACTTCAAAACGTGTTAATTTCCAGCAGACATTAGAGGATGTTCTTAATCTCCAGTGATTAAAGCAGGGGAAAATACTCTCAATTACTTCATTAAGATTTTCACTGATTGCATATGTGGATGTGCTCTCCCATCCTCACAAAGTTAGGAGATATGGGAGAACCAAGACTTTTACCCAAAGTTTTGAAAAGAGATTGGCAGCTGAGTGATGGACCTTTTTATGGGAACATAAATAAAATTGAGAGGATGAACTGGATTTAGTAGATTAGAATATTGGGAAATCTTTATTTGTCAAGGAAGCATTTAATTCTTACTATCTTTTTCTGTGTGTGCATTGAAGGTATCCTGAATTAGCAACAGTTTGCAGAAATCCCAATACTCTAATTTTGTATCCTGGAGCTGAAGCAACTAACTTGGAAGAAATTGCACTGATGCCTTCTAGTCCATCTGTGATGATAATCATCGATGGAACATGGAGTCAAGCTAAAGATATATTTTACAAAAATTCTCTCTTCCGTCTTCCCAAGCAGGTAAGTTATACATATTGGGGTTTTTTTGCTTTGTTTTGTTTTTTTAACATGTGTAATACATGCTTGGTTTCTGACTAGACCAAAAGGAGTCTCTTGACTTTTAAATAGTGGCGTTTTCATTTTATCATTTGATACTTTTGGTATGTTGAGTTGTGGTTTGTTGATTTAATGCATCTAATGTCCTAAGGAATCAACTCTTTACAGACTGAGAACTACTTAAATTTATATGGAAAACATTTCCTCTTTTGTACCTCAGACATTAGAACACGGGCAACAGAATGTGCTTTTTCTTCCCTGGATAAGTGTGTTGTATCCCCAGTAGGGAAGATGAAAGTAGAATTGTCTAAGACTTAGGAAAGCATCAGACTTTCCCTTATATTTGGGCTCTACCATGTGAAAACCTTTTGGTAAGATTTGACGGTATAGCTTAATTACACGTGATTCAATTGCTGCTACTCAGAAACTTTCTTCCTATAATGACATGCAACTTTATAACGTAAACACATCAGACATCATTCTTTTACAACTATACTGTACTGGATGTGATGTCTCCGTTACAG